CCACCACCTTTCACACCACCGTCAGTTCTCACACCAAAATATGCTGCTCGGCACCAAGTGCAAGCTTGAGGCGGAGTGGGCTGCGGCTATGGCTGCGAGGGTGCACCATCCATACGTACAGCTCCCTCGTATCTCCTGTAGTGGTGCCTGGACTGACGTCACATTCTGGCTCCAGGCACTGCTACTGGGCACACAAGCAATGCACATATGGATGGAGCTCCGTCACAGCACAGCAGCCCACACTGGACCCAGGCTAAGCATCCACTCCAGTTCTAGTAAACTAGGAAGACTGGGTAGATCTTAAAAAATAAATAAAAATTTGGGGAGTGTGTGTGTTTGAGAATGTCTGTGAATGTGCGAGATTGTCTCAGTGGTTGTGCGAGTCTGTCAGTGTTTTTGAGGGCCCGTTCACACTTGTACAGTACAATAATCGCACAGTCCCATGCCATTAAAGCACTGTATCATGCAATCGCACCTACCATGCGTTCTGCTGTGGGAGGTGTGTTACGTTGCCATTCATTTGAATGGCATCCAAAACACAGCTCCCACCCAAAGTCCAATCGCGGTGCGACTTGGGTCTTAGTGACTAAGGACAAATGTGGGTCCTGAGGTTACACAGGTTGAGAACCACTGTTCTAAAGTAATCTGAACAGAACACACGGGGGGCAACTCTTTTCTAGAACTCATTTGAATGTGTGTACATTTGAGCTTCACCTATTGAGTTATATAATCAGCAGCCAGTATTAGACAGGCAATCAGGAGAAAAGGAGCCTAGTGCTTCAACTGCTGGTTGGTAAAGTAAAATTAAATAAATCAGAAGCACTATGCCCATGTAGTAATAGACTGCCCTCTCTTTCTGAAAACGCTACCTGCTTGACTTTCGTGTTGAATCATTTCAACTTAGTTACTGACTTCACTAGATACAATTAGTTACCGACACAGAACAAACGTACATATCAGAAATTTTTACTTCACGGTCTTTCCCGATCTGCATGTTTGTTTCAGGTAGGTGACAAAGTATTGAAGCCACTTGATCAGCATGATGTGTTAGCTATGGAAAGCACTACAGAATCTCAACCACATATTCATAAATAAAACCACAACATCAAAAATATAAGGTCATATCAAATCTTATAGCGCCACATAGTCCGCAGTCATAGTTGAAGCCTCTATATTGTGCAGCAGCAAAATAATAAGAATGTAAACATTTCACTTATAACCGCTGTTTGAACTTTGCCCATTTCCCAGTGGCTCTACCTTCCCTTTTTGTCAATTAGGTCTTAAATGTCATTGGCTTGAGGCATTAACTAGAAAAACTGCCTTAGGCCAGTTAAGTCTTGGGTAATATCTTGAGAGTTAGTAGTATAGAGAGGATTGAATATATCCTATATCAAATCATAGCTTTTCTTCCCCTGAAATTGATCCATGACTAGGGCCATCCAAATAAGACCTAAGCATCACTGTTCAATAAAAGATATTGGAGAAGATAGGCTTAGTACAGTATAAACCAGCCATCTGCAATAGATCAGAAACACTGCGTGGACAAGACAAGGCAAGACAGCTTCACAGACTTCTAAAGCCTTGCTGTTCTGTGTGCATGAAAGAAAAAGACCAACAGTGTGTGTGTGTATATATAGATATAGATCTATATATTATTAATTAGGGATGCACCGATATATCCGCCGCCGAAACGTATCGGCCGAAAATGGCAAAAGTGCAATTTTCCTGCCGATACATCGGCGCATCCCTGCTTTATTTCCTCCCCGCTGGGTGCTGCTCTGTGTCCCAGCGGGGAGGAGAGAAACTGTGACAGGCAGCCGAGCGCTGCAGGAGGAGAGCGTTGCGAGCGGCCGACGTCTCTCCCCGGCACCGCTCAGCCTCCTATCACAGTCCGGCAGAGCGGTGTATGGGCGGAGACAGGCCATGCTGTCACAGGAGACCGAGTTCTCCTTCCTACACCGCTCGATCAGCCTGTGACAGCATGTCAGAGAGGAGAGCGACAGCAAACACTCAGTGATCAGTGATCGCTGACTGTTTGTAGATAATTGAGGAAATGGTATGGTTACTATATCCTCAATTACGAATGAATGGGAGAGATCCACATCATCTCCTGTTCATTCATAGTTGTAGTTATAGTAAACATAACATGTCCTCATGTTATCAATGAACAGAACCACTCATAGAGGTTTCCTGTTCATTGATAACAGGGGACACAGAAAAAGAGATAGAGGACTTTGTTTCATACATCTTTTTCCATTTTAAAAGGGAAATATCAGGGATCTCTTTAGACCCCCAATATTTCCCTGAAGCCCCTAAAAGTAATGTAAAACATAGAAATTTAATAAAAAAATTAAAAGTTTGTAAAAAATAAAAAATTTGAAAAATTTGAAAAAATTAAAATAAAAAACAATTTCGGTATCTGTTTGAAATTTTTTATTTTCGGTGCGCCTCTAATTATACATACATACATACATACACACACACGGATATGTTTCTTTAAAGCTGAACTAGATTTATTTTTTAAATACAAATACTCTAAAACTGCAAGTAAAATTGTACATACCTGCATACTATGCTCATCTGTTTTACCCTTGTAATATCTACTGTACATTTCATAATATTCATATGTCATCTTGCTACTCTCTTCCTTAGCATTAAAGGGAAAGGATGATTGTGGGGCTATAATCTGAGTGAACCAATTTTATTATTTGCCAAGAACCAGACAGACATTCAATAGAGCAGTTCTATTCCCACCCCAATGCTCCATCCCTGCTGCCCTTTTATCAGCCACCTAATACTTGATTTAATAAATGCTGCTGCTATAAAATAAGAAGGGAAAACACAGGACAAGACAGGGAGAAGCCACGTTATTCTGTATGGCGACAGTCTCTGCCCATTATGCAAATATAGAAGAATATTGACTGGGCAGTTGCACCAGAAGAGTTGAAACCAGGAGGTCTCAGATCCTGAGGATATGCCTACACAGCAGCTACTTCTACAAATGTTGTTTGTCTGGTCCAGACTATACTGCGCTGGTGTGAACAGAGCCCAGAAATACCATAGGGATACATTGAGATGCTTTTTTGGTTTGGGAACAAACTATTCTGATCTGGACATAATCCGGACATGGTGTGAACAAGCCCTTAACCCTTTCGCTGCCAAGGACGTATGGCATACGGACCTACAAAAGTGCTTCCAGCTGGCCAGGTCAGTATGCCATACGGACCTGGCATTTACAGTTCTACTATAAGCTGATGGTCGCTTTAGCGACCATCAGCTTATAGTATAACTGTTCAGCAGACTGTCCCCTTTAAATTAATAGCTGTCATCAGCGGCTCACAAGCCGCTGATGACTGCTATTATCAAACTGTCCTTCCTTCTGGAGGGGGGCTACTTTGTTCTCCATGGTCCCTGTGTGTGTTGTAAAGTAGTCATCGCTCCAAGCTCACTGCCGGGATGGACTACAATCTCATGTTTAGTTTACTAATTTGTATTGAGATTGTAGTCCATCACTGGTTAAAAAAAATTAGGATTCTGTCTGCTCCAGTTTTTATAAATTACCCTCTATGTGTCCCAAAAAAATGGTATAAAATTAATTTTAGTACAGCGTTGCATGACGGAATAAAGGTCAGTCAAAGTACCTCAACGAACTGGCCTGGCCCACTCTTCAAGTAGTTAACGAAAGCACCCAAACTAGATTTTGAAAGCAATCTTCGGGGCAGCACAGTGGTGTAGTGGTTAGCGCTTCTGCCTTGCAGCACTGGGGGGGGTCCTTGGTTCAAATCCTGGCCAGGTCACTATCTTCCTGTGCTTGCGTGGGTTACTCTGGTTTCCTCCCACACTCCAAAGACATGCTGGAAGGTTAATTGGTTTCTCTCTAAATCGTCCCTGTATGTATGCATGTGTGATAGGGACCTTAGATTGTAAGCTCCTTGAGGGTAGGGACTCATGTGAATGTGCAACTATGTAAAGTGCTGCGTAAATTGTCGGTGCTGGACCCAATTTTTGTGGAAGCTTCTTCCGCATTTTAACAACGCTTACAGTCCAGAATGCTTTTAGCAGTTTAAATCTAAACTCCAAATACACAAACTAATCCAGTCATGTACGGATTAGAAAAGCATTTTTAAACATGACTAGTTTAATTACATGGTTTTAATTTGGCATCCCCTGTACAGCCGCACTCAGACAACAAGGGGGAAGAGGGGCAGAACTAGGAGCCAATCAGCTGTACTGCAGTGCACACAGGCTGGCTAGGACAGCAGAGAAGACTGTTGCCGCTGCTACTCCTTTACAGTCCAAATTATAGGCTAGGGTTGAGAAGGTGACCAGGCTGTATTGGTAAAGTGCAGTATAGAAAAGACAGGTACCGACCTGGCTCCTCTGCTAATAGGGCTGTCTCTATATCAGGGCTGCGTTGAAAAAAATGTAGAATATTTTGCAGAGAACACAGCTGCCATTTAAGAACATATTTTATTGGTATTTAACAATGCTTTGATGCTGTGTATAAGGATTTGTCACAAGTTCATCTTTAAGCCTAAAACCTTTTTCTTTCAATTGCAAGGGATGTCATGGGTCTGTTCAGGTGGTCTCAAAGTGAATAGTACTTAAAGCACATGTATATCTTTATTTGAATGCAATGTATGGCGGTTTTGCAAATATTTTATTAATTTTCACAAGCTGCATTTTGAATGCAGGTTCCCTCTGACTTTGTGCAAAAGTCAGAAAAAAAAGAAAGTCTTCTTTCCCAATGTGATTCAGCAGAAACCACAGTGGATCAAGAGACGCCACAGGGAACTGAAAAGCTTGTGAAGATTCTCCATGCAACTACTATAAAACACCTGCATTACACTGCGGACAAACACACGCCTGAGGCGGGCCCCTAGGTCATTAGTTATAGGTGGGGTTATTGTTTTCCAGTGCAGTCAGTTGGGCTCAGGAGCCCTTTCTGTTACAGTAAGCCTTATAAGCAGAACAGGTATTCTTAGTGGAAGAGATCTTACCGGTATCCATCTGCCAGACGTAGACAGAGCCATCCGAACAGCCAACCACCAGATAATCGTCCGATGGTCTCCACTTGATGACTTGGATGGGAAACAGATGGCGGGAAGCCAGCATGATGCACTTTCTTTCTCGGAGGCTTAAGAGGCCGACAGAGTGATCACTGGCAACCGAGCAGATGCAGTGCTGGACCCGCGTCTGAAGAACAAAGAACACAGCAAAAGGTTTTAAAAAATAAAAAACACAAAACACTTTAAGATTGTATTACAGGAAGAGAAACAAGATCTGGATTTACAAGGATACCTGTTATGAGAAATAACATTGAGGCCGTCATTGCTGACCTCTTACTGATAATGCAAGTCACCTGGCTGCCATGCTGATCCTGTGCCTTCAATACTTCAATACACTTCCCTCTGACTTTCCTGACCTGCATATGCATACCAGTTTAGCGATTCAGAAAAAAAAAGTGTTGTATCCGGAGACAGGCAAGCAACTAGAAATTTCACATAGGAGCTCAACATTGGCTGCCCCAATGGCAGGTTCACATAAAAATGGCTGTACAGCACTTTTTCCAAAAATGTCCTCTGCTTGTGGTCCCTGTGAACTCTGTTCTTCCTTAACAGAAGCCACTATTTCACCGAAGGACTTAAGAGAAGTTTGTGTGTCTTCTCAGTTTACGTAAAGCAAAACAAACGACAAACGCACTCAACAATTTGTTACCAGTTGTACAGTAAGGTGCACACGAAATGGGCTTTGAACAGTGGTACAGTAGAAAGGCATCATGGCACACTCACAAACTAGCATGTAAAACAACTTGTCTCACCACTAAGGACAATGACAGAGGTTTGGATACACGTCTTCTGCAAAGGATGTGTAAGC